CCTATCTCAACTCAGCTACTTCTTGTATTTCTGTTGACTTTCATTAAGATAGAATCTGAACTGAAACTAGAATTTAGCAATTTCTTGGCTGTCTGCTACATTTTAAAAGGTCAGGAAATTACTAAGAAATATACTTTATCTGAACTGTTTCTTGACCAAATAATTACTAACATACATTCTACTGTTATGTGCTGTTCAAATAACCCAACAAGGAAACAGGATACAAAGAGATGAACAAATCTCTCCTATTTTTAGAGAGCCGATAGTTTTCAAACCACAAAGTTATTTTTTTCATATGACTTGTTTCAACAGCAAACTGGAGCAAAGCCCAAATCATCATCTTTTAGTGTAAGTCTTTGTATGCAAGCCAGCTTTCAAGCTTATTTCTCTATTTAACCCTAGAAACAAAGATCAAATGAAGTTTATACTAGATTTTCCGTTAGTTGATATCCTATTAAAAAAAATTGAAAATAACCAATACACAAGGAGATTGAGAGAGGGGATCGTCCCCCTCTTCTCAGCCATGGTAAGGCCATATCTGGAGTACTGTGTCCAGTGCTGGGCTCCCCAGTACAAGAGGGATGGGGAGAGTCCAGCGCAGGCCTACGAGGATGATCAGGGGCCTGGAACATCTGCCCTGTGAGCAAAGGCTGAGGGAGCTGGGCCTGTTCAGCCTGGAGAAGAGAAGGCTGAGGGGGGACCTGATCAGTGTCTATAAATACCTCAAGAGAGGGAGGGAGGAGGAGGGGGTTGGCCTCTTTTGAGAGGTGGACACTGATAGGAAATGGCCACAAACTGAAGCACCAGAAGTTGTGCAGGAACTTAAGGAAAAATTTCTTAACAGTGAGGGTGACAGAGCCCTGGAACAGGCTGCCCAGAGAGGTTGTGGAGTCTCCTTCTCTGGAGATCTTTAAAACTCGCTTGGATGCAGCCCTGTGCCACATGCTCTAGGTGACCCTGTGGGGGTGTGTGTGTGGGGGGGGAACTGGATGACCTCTAGAGGTCACTTCCACCCTTAGGGATTCTGTGATTCTACAATCTCTAGAGTTACTTGCTTCAACATAGTCAGCTGAAGACTTGCTCAAGCCAGAAGCCGTTGCAAGACTATACAACTACCACATGGGCAACTCCATCCCATGAACCTGGAAATAAAATTCACTTGGGCTGAACAGTAATTCTCAAATATTTCTTAAAAAGAAAGTTACTTCCCTTAAGAGGAGTTCTACATTCTTTGCAAACTAGCTCTAGGTGGGAAGCTACTGAAGGTGGAAGGAGAAGAACAGGTACATATATCTGCTACTCACTTGTCTTGGGTTCACACCTAGTATCAACAAGTGAGGGAGTTTCAAGCACTGGGAGAAATAGCAGAGGCTGGCAACTAGAATTTATATTTATGGAGAGACAAATGAATACCTGGATCCTCATCAGACAGCTACTTTTCACTCTTCATTGCAGTCCTGTAGTTTTGCTGCCTGCGGGTCACTTCAGCATGGTCTGGGGATGCAATGAGGTTCAAGTGATCACATCACTTATCGGCCAGTTCCTCCTAGTAACTTAACAAATCCTTGACACCTTTGACAGAAGAGTAGCTACCATAAGCATATTAAATTCCTGAAATTTCATGAAAAACTGTAACTTTCTGGAAAGAGGGACAGTGAGCACCTCTTGTTTCTTAGGGAAGCTGGTCCACAGCCTACAGCCCCACAGCAGTAGCAGTTTGCTCATTAGTGACAGGGTCATTAGTAAAAGCCTCTCAGCTCTTGCATGGCTGCAGACCAACAGCATAGATGGGTGCCTAATTGCTAATGATTTTTGTGGCTGTCCTCATGTTATTAACTTTGGCTTTGAGGGCTACTTTGCTTCAGTCAGAGCATTACATAGGAAAGAAATGTGGGAACTAACCAGCTGCTCCAAGAACGCTGCTCAAAAGTTATTAGACTCGAGACTGATTTCTGACAGTTCGAGTCATTAGTCCAATAGTTAGAGATATGGTTTGGTCAGGCTCCAGAACTGCTGCTGAGTCCTGAAGGTGAGCTGGAGACATCTGATAAGAAATGCAAGCAGATGTGTCGGGTTTTATAGCAGCTGTGCATCTCTGAAAGCAACAGTTCTGGAGAATAATATTCACAAAGTGATTGGGAAGCAAAGCAAGCCAGAGAAACACACTCTGGGCAGCAAAATTAGCTCACATCAAAGACTTTCTGTGCAAAGGTGTGATTTGAAAAGGGGCATGCACCAGTGAGCATGGCACGGGAAGCTGCCTAATTGCTGCTGTCCCAAGAAATCATCCTTCCCGGCCCTTGCATGTTAGAGAAACACTTGGTGAGATCCATTTCCCATCCTCAGATTTTCAGAAATTGACTGATTGCTTAATAACATGAGTCAAAAAGGCTAACTACAAGAAGCAGCATGCATTAATATTAAGCACGATGGCGATTATTTGGAAGGATTAGCTCTGCACACAGAGCATGTTTCCAGAGCTGCTCCCCAGGCACCACGTCTTGGCTGACCCTCTAACACTGGGACCAGCTGCTTTCCTGGCTTTAAGTTGGCAGAGGCTGAACCCTGGACTGCAGCCCGGGGTGCTAACGGGCTCTCTTTCGGTGGGGGGATGTCCTGGAGTGCCTCTGTGACTGATAGCAGGGCAGTGTGTGCAGGGAAAAGGGTGGTCTCAAGAACTGGAAAGATTATTATAGGAAAAAAGGGAAAAAAATCTGAATTCATAGCAAAATACACAATCAAATATTCTTAGATAAAATTCAGTATTACGATTGTTTTTTCTTCTTTCTGTAGGAGATAATGAGTTGAGAAATTAAAAAAAATCATCTTTGGAAATGTCTCCATAGGTAGGTTCGGCATTTGGAGTTCAAAATACTTTGCCCTTCCTGAATGGAAATATTTTGCTCTCTAACATTTATCTTGTCTTTTGGGGAGTTGTATTTTGGGCAGATATGTGCATCTTCCACTCTGTGGCAGAAATGCAGCCTGCACATTGCCTCTCAGATGAGACACCTCCCCTCAGGTCTTCCACAGAGGAGGCTCCTCAGAGCACCATAGGAGATGCTTGTCTCTAGAGAAGAACAGGATCAAAACTTCCCATTTAACTCCAGACAGAAGCATTGATAGCAACAGAATGAAGATTATTGTTCCCCAGTCTTTGATGTACCTGTGCCTATGATATACAGGTATTACATGCCTATAGACTTATTTGTGCTCATTTTTTAAAAAGTCTAAACTATGGTTTTACTTTAAACACACTCTGCACTAAATAAGAATCAAATCCTCTAGATTTACTCCATGATAATTCAAAATGAGTGGAAAAAAAAGTGAGAAGACCTAAAGTACATACATCAAATTTTAGGAAAAAGAGGATCTATATAATTATTGTGGACAGACTGTCTGTCTTGTGACTACAAGACATTACAAGACAAGACGTCTTCATATCATTAGACTTTCTAGCTGCTTACAACTAAGTCAATGGATATGATGCAGTGGGTACTATGTAAATAGCTGTTCTAACCCAGTGTAAGTGAGCACAAAATCCGGCCAGCAAGAACATACACCTGTTTGCTTGAAAACAGTCAAAGATCAGAGTCTCCCAAGATCGTTCTGAGAGAGGATCCTTCTTGTCACATCTTTACCGTTTTATGCTTCTCATTGTAAATTCATTTAAATATATTTTAATCTCCAGAAAACACTTTTTTTTTTTCCTTTGGAATCACATCCTATCCACTGTATTAAGTAGATATTCAAGTATTTGGCCAGGTCTATTCTCATCCAAGTTCCACGAACAGACAATTAAATTGGAAGTGGAAATTATGCTTTCTTTGGACTGACTCTTTTAAAGAATACCCTTTCATGTTGTTAATTAGCCTTTCGTGAGGCTTGGAAGAAGCACTTGAAATATCTTTAAAGTTTGCAATGAGAGAATGGTGAAAGTCTGTCTTTGATTTACATATGTACTTGTTCGAGGATATGAAAAACAGAGGATAAGACAGCCAAAATTTAGTACAAAAAGGAGGTAGACTAGCAAGGCCATTGTTTAAGGCTGCAGAAGAAAGCACAACTGAAGATTTCCAGTGCCTTCATTAGAGGGGCAGGATTTTTCAGAACTGTTACTGATCATGAATTATATGCACATATTTTCACAGAAGAAAGTAATTAAAAGACAGTGCTTTCCCAATAAAAAAAGATAACTATTTAAAATAACCAGATTAGTATTAGAGAACTAGAGGCAGGCACCAGTAAAATACAGCATCTTGCTTCTGCACCATGGAAAAGAACAGAGCTCAGCAAAATATTGACTTTCATGGCTTTCTCAAATTATATACTAGTTCCAACAGTGTGTGAAGGCTAAATCTGCAATTATATAATAAAAATTTCAAATTAATTACGGAATAGCAATTTTTCCTCTAGTTTTATAGAGGGAGCACAGCTGTTTACTGTTTTTTTGCAGTATGGCTAATAGAAATTTAGAAATTTGCCACTGATTGCATGGGCTTTAAAGTTAAGCATGAAATATTATATCTGATTTCTACAGCCTACTTTTTTCATTTTCTTTTAAATTCAAAAGTATAGGCAGAGGTTGGTTCTAGACCTCATTGTCTAAGGTTTGCTCTCCTAAGAACTACTTTAAGCATTTTCTTATAGATACTAGTACAAAATTTAAAAATCTTACAATGTGAAAATAAAATCGATGCCAATCAAGTTGCAAAGGAATATGAACAGAATATAGCAGAAAAAAATGAAAAACCTTGTTTATTTCATAGTTATACAAATAATAAAACAATACCCAAAAGCTGTACATGAAATAATATTAAACAGTGTCAAACATGACGATCCTGACAGAATACATATCAATACTTTAAATCACAGAAATGATACTACATATGCTCAGTAGCAATAGTACTGTGCAGGCATGGCGCTTTCTGTAAACTCTCTTTCTTCACTTTATCTACATTTAGAACAATTGTGCTTTTCCCTACACAAAGTAACAGTGCTCTTAAAAATAAATAATAATGTGCAATTTAAGAGTCAGATCCTTGAAGATGCCAATCTAGATGCCCACCTAAGTTCTGGACATGTCACTCCCAGTAAAGTCACTGTGAGTAGGAAGTGCTCAGCACTGCCAGATCAAACACACCAAAAAAGGTACTGATTGGCTTTTCTTCAAGCTGCAGTTATTAAAAAAGGTGCTGACTTCTAGTATGTGTTGATTTTATTCTTTAACAAATAATGGTACGGTATTCATTAAATGTGGTCTGGTTTCTTATTACATAGCAGATCATGTAAACCAGCCAAAGTTTGAAAGGTTTAGTAGATCTTAAATCTGGAAAGTGACTCAGAGCTGAGGGAGAAAGAACTGTCCTGAAGTTGAAAATGTAGCCAACAAATATATTTATCTATGCTTTTTATGAAATATGAGAGTATCTGCCACAAAAACATTAACATATATATTAATAAACAGTTCACAATACGTTTACCTGAATTAAATCAAATTCTTAAAGAGCTGCCAAAAGATTTTGAAAAATATCCAGTCTGCTGTCTTGCTGTAGCTCCCTGTTCTTATTCTTAGCATACTTCTAGGAACCACAGCTGGCAATCAATGTAACTTTCTTGAGGATAAATCTGAGGAACACTCAGTCGAAGCATATTCCTCAGTTAATCCTCATCAAGGCAGATATCATGACATTATTTGGGACCCTTCTTTTTCTTCCATTTTGTGTTAGTCACTGCTAGTGTTGGATGATGAGAGGGATGAATATAATAAAGCACACCAGGGTAGTGCCACGAGTCAGGGAGGAGACACTTGCTTTCAGTGGGGAAAACAGTCCAAGTCCCAGCCTAAGGAGAAGGTCAAGGGTGCCAACTGTGGGCAATTCCAATGTGGAAAAGCACACGGGAACAAAGAGTGAGGGCTGGTTTTGAGAAGGTCCCAGTAAGCTGCTGTTGCCTTGGAAGAAGGTGCTGCTGTCATGGCCTGTGCAAAACCAAGTCTGAGAAAACTTGTTGCCTGATTGGACTAGGCTTAATGCTAGGGTGGCAATGTGCCTCTATGGCTTGTGAACTAAACCTCACCCAGAAAATCAGATGTGACCCTTGTCAACAGGGACTTTTGTCCATCCTTCATCTGCTGACCCAGAAATGCAACCTCCCCTTATCTATCCTTTATCATTAATGACTCCTTGATTTCATTTATCCAATTACAGAAGGTTGACATTTTTGTTCCCCCCCTCCGCTTTTTTTTTTGGTACTACCAGAAGAATTATAGTATTGTCATCTACTTTGCTCTCAGAGAAATACTCGTACCGGTGTATTAAAAGCTTCCCTGAGGTGGAGAAAAAAACCCACGTACTACTTCATCTTGCAGTCGACGTGAATTCCCCTTCTGTTGATGGGCTGACAGCGGAGCGGAGAAGAGAGCACATTCCCAGGGGAACAGATAAAGCTAAGCAGGCACTTCTTTGAGCTTCTGTGAGACTGACAGCTCTGAACCCTTTATCTCAACAGAGAGTCAATTAGGGCATACAAAATGTGTCAAAGAAACAACAGCCACAAAACCCCAACAGAAAGAATAGGAACACACACATCTTTCGCCAAGCAAATAGCCTTCTCTTAAGCTGCCAGCTTACACTGTGTACGTATAACACTCTGCGGTTCATCAATGACAAATTAAATACACTCCAGTCTGTACTGCTATTGAGTTCCTAGGGATGCCTTGGTTTCACTGCTCATTGGATTGGAACTGCATCCCACACCTCGGCACACAGCCGAAGGAAACTGCCCTGGGGTTGGAGAGACTGGTAAACAGGACAGCGCTACTATTCTGGGGCTATGGCAGAAGGACTTTCTATTTCATGCCAGCTTCTAGAAAACTCGACTGTAAGTCAGGGATTTAGGCTACTACATTTGCATCATCACAGACTTCTAGTCATGCATATGTGAACTTAAAGGGAAACATAGGGGAAAAAGTGGCACGTATTCTTTTTAAATGCTAAAAGTTCTCGAACTTTTCTTTACACATGAAATTCTCCAACACTAGCTCAAGATTTGATATATACAGTGGATAAAACATTTGGAGATGAGGACCTATCCTGGAGCTGAAAACGTTACGGGAAAATACCCATACATGGTACCCATATCCCTCCTCCTTAGCGTAGCCTGCCATGAAAGTGGTAGAAACGGGTGACCTCCTCTCCTTGCTCATACAGAGCTAAAACAAACCATATGAACACAGGTTTTGTACCGTGTGTACATCGTACTGATATTCTGCCCACCCTCTCTCCTCCAATTTATCATTCTCTTTTCTGAAAGCAGGAAGCAAAAGAATTGTTGGTCTGGTGAATAAAGAAAAAGAAAACTGCTCAGAAAAATCAACGGGATAATACAGCTCTGTGTTATTTCAGTCAACTTCACATCCCTACGTCAAGCCCATACAAAAGAGGTGCATCAGAGAGATGTATTATCTGACATCATGAGAAATTTAAGTTTTGAAAGAACTGCTTGATCTACAGTTCCTTTATTTTCCATTTAATTGGTTAGGTCTTTTTTTTTCTTTTAACAAGTTCCAATATGTCAGCTGAGTTCCTTTAGACTTCTTGTTCTCCTTTCAATTAGGAATAAAAATTGTATGCGTTTGAACATATGAGATAATCTCTTTTCTCCTGCAGATATTTCCGAAGAATAAAACTCTACAGGCAACGTCAATAAAGAGGCTTTGAGATGCTTCATGCAAACAACTCAAACAACATAAATCACTGTAAATAAATGATTCAGCAAATGTTTCCTTCATCAGCAAAGAAACATCATATGAAATGTTCATTATTTCTTCAAGAAAAGGAAAAGATGAGTATAGAAAAGAAGCTTAATCTTTGGTACCAAAAATAAGGGCACCTTTTTGTTAAGTGAGTCCACAGATCTGAATAAAACCGAAAATCCTCTCTTTAAAAAAAGGCTCAAAATGACCGATCTCTGAGTGGTTCCAAGTAGTGGGTACCGACAGCTGTAGCTAGAAAACCACCCTGGGAGGTTGAGAGTTGTGCGACAGCAAGTTACAACACAACACCAAGTGATAAAGCATTTGATGTTTCCCTCCACCCTCCCTCCCTTGCCAATTTTCTTCTCCTACGACAATTCCTTAAGATACATACTTTTAATTATTCATCACATCCCCCAAATCCTTGGAGGGTTCCCATACCAAGAGCAACAAAACCCAACCCACGACAATAAGAAAAACGGCAACAAAAGCTGAGGTTATAATACAAGATCAGAAACAGTCCTCTGACTGAAGGCATTTGCTCCATCTGTCCGATCTTACGGACCTTGCTTTCTCTGCGCAATCCCATCGTGATCTTTGCCGCTGAAGCCCTGCGTATTTCCTCGAGAAACGGCCCCACGCACTGGGGGTTTCTCTGATAAGCGCTCTGGCAAGTCAGCAATAAGCAGGCTAATTGTTTCTTCTTTAATTCATGATGAATGTATCGCTGGGTCCTGTAAACACTACTGAGTATACATTCAAGCTTTGTTCTTAGTGAAAGTGGCACTTACTTGAACCCTTGCAGTCAAGATAGCTTAGCTTCATAGCACTTTACAGGTATAGTAGCTGGTTATGCACTTCTGATAAAAATCCGTTTTTCCAATGGCTTAGTGGGTATTGAAGTATATCCTCACTGGAATCCCATTGCCATTCCATAACATCTTTACGATGAAGTGCGTACTCTGGACTTCTTCTTGTATTTTACACGTGCTTTATTGCTGTACACATTTCCCTGTTGTTAGTTTAAGTGCTCCTCTGTTATGTAGTACATATAAAGTCTTAAACTCTAGTGGCATCCTATGAGGGCTGGCATTAGAAAAGTACCGATACTTTAGATCGTCGTAATAGTGATACTTGACTGGTTTTCCATGTAAATCTTTTGGGAATGGCCAGAATCCATACAGATGAATTTCATCACAAAATCTAGTAGCAAGCGTGTACATGAGGAGACCGGTGCTGGGACGCTTGATGTGGACCTTGTTTGTGAGCCAGTAGCTGCAAAGAAATGAAGAAAAAGAATGTCAGGACACATGCAAACAACTCGATGTGAATAAACTGTGGGAAGGAAAATTTGAGCTACTCATTTACTTATGCAGACATTTAATACATCAAAGAAAACGTTTCCTTTTACTTCTGTCTCTCATAGCAAAAGAAGCAACTCCTGAAATTGTGACACTGCTATTGGCACATTTATTCCACCTATAAGAAATAGAGAAGTGATATCTGTTTGATATCTGATACAGCTGAAGCAAAGTTAGCCAAATGAGGACCTGAGTTCAGGCTCTCATCCTACCAAGAACTTGCAAGTGTAGGAAAAAGGCTGCTCATTCCTCCTAATGTCTAACCTGAACCTCCCCTGGCGCAACTTGAGGCCACTTCCTCTTGTCCTATCAATAGCTTTTCTGGAGAAGGGATCGACCCTCACCTCACTACAACTAGTTGTAGAAAGGGATAAGGTATCCCCTGAGCCTCCTCTTCTCCACACTAAATAAGTGTGGAGAAGCTGCTCCTTGTAAGGTCTGTGCTCCAGACCCTTCACCAGCTTCACTGCTCTTTGGAGACGCTCCAGCACTTCAGTAGTGAGGGGCCCAAACCTGAACACAATATTCAAGGTGCAGCCTCACCAGTGCTGAGTACAGGGAAACGATCACTTCCCTGGTCTTGCTGGCTACACTATTCCTGATATAAGCCAGGATGCCATTGGCCTTCTGGGCTACTGGGGCACACTGCTAACACATATTCAGCCTGCTGTCGACCAACAGCTCCATATCCTTGTCTGCCACGCAGCTCTCCAGATGCTCTGCCCCAAGCCTGTAGTGCTGCATGGGGTTGTTGTGACTGCAGTGCTGGACCCAGCACTAGGCCTTGTTGAACCTCGTACAGCTGGTGTCATCCCATTGATCCAGCCTGTTCAAATCCCTTCCTAGCCTCAAGCAGATCTACTCTTCCTCTCATCTTGGTTTTGTCTGCAAAGTTGCTGAGGGTGCATTCAATCCCCTCATCCAGTGCATCAATACAGATATTAAAGAGGACTGACGGCAGTACTAACCCCTGGGGAACACTGCACGACTGGTTGCCAGATGGATTTAACTCCCTTCATCATCACTCTCTGGGCCCAGCCATGCAGCCAGTTATTCACCCAGGGAAAAGTGCATCTGTCTAAGCCATGAGCTGTCAGCTTCTCCAGGAGAAGGCAATGGGTGACTGTGTGAAATGCCTTCCTAAAGTCTAAGTAGACCATGTCCACAGCCTTTCCTTCATCCACTAGGGAGGTCACCTGCTCACAGAAAGAGATCAAGTTGGTCAGGCATGAGCTGCCTTCCATGAACCCATGTTGGCTAAGCCTGACCAAGATGATCTTCTCCATAACTTTCCCCCTGTCAGGCTGACAGGCCTGTAGTTCCCTGGATCCTCCATCCAATCCTTCTTGTAAGATGGGTGTCACATTGGCAAATCTCCAAATCCCTACACAGCATTACCACCCAAATCTAAATCACTGTATTGAAAGCATTCTTAAAGCATTGAGGGATATAGCAACATGATTCCTGGGAACATCTATTCATCAGTATGAGAAAGGACAGTAAAAATAAATATTTAACCAAACGAATATTGAAGTGTCTTAAAAGCAGCAGATGCTGTACAACAGTACAAATACTGTTCGGTTGAAACTGGCCTTCACAGTTTCATACCTCGTCAAAAACACATGGCCTAAAGGCTGATGCCTTTAAATGATAGAAAAATACAGGTCAAAAAGATAAAAAATTTCCATTGTACTCAGTTTCTTATTTGAAACCCGAGGACTGTGTGAGCAGGAAGCAGTTCTAGGCTGCAAAATTCCTTCTCCAAAGCCAACAGAAGGAATGACTCAGAATTTTCTCTGGCCCTAGAAAGCTGGATGGTAAAGGAGTATTTTAAAAAAACAAATGCAATAAGGAAGGTTTAATTGTGCAAAGGACAAGTGTACTGCACACCGTTTTCTTCAGGGTTTACAAAAAACTAAGACTTCAGATGAGATATAACGCTAAGCAATCTGCTTTTCATTTTGAAAACTGAGCAGGCATTTTAAAACAAGACAAGTCAAAGGGGAAACTCTTAATTCTACATCTATCTTTCCTTCTTCCTTTCCTTCTTCTCATCATTTTGATTATGGAAAAGTTATTGAAAAACTAAATCTGATCACTTTTGTTACTTCACATGACAGACAAAGCGAAACAGACTGAACCTGAAATCCAATAACTTAATTTTAGTAGAAACAGATATTTGCAACCTAGAAAGTGAATTGATTCCCCCTGTAACTACACACAGTCAGCCACCTATATGGTGTCTCTAACCGAACAGTAATCTGATCTGACACATCTGTTACAATGACCTTGCACAACTAGTATCATCCACAGTGAATTCAATCTTACAGAACAACGCTGATCACTGTTGAGAACTAAATTAGAAACACACAAGTAGATCAAAACTATTAAAAAGGAAATTACAACAACTTTTACTGAGCACTTGTGTTCAACAATAAAACACTAACACATTAGAGCTTATCGCAGTCTTACACTTTAGAAGTAAACTTGTTGTCATATTCAGAAATCATACAGGAGGAATGTGACTGCTGAGTTTCTTCCATAAATAAGAAAGATATCTAAACAGGATACTCAGAGTATGGTATTGGCTTTATTTACTATTGATATTTGGCAACTTGAGATCAACTCTGCTAAAGACGAAAAACAGCCAAGTAATGCAGTGAGTGAAATGGTTAGAGGCATTTAATGGTTCAGGCTGAAGCTGAAAGCTTCCTGCAGCACATTTCACTGGTGCAAATCCTTGTTCCCAACCTCTGCCTGAATTGATAAGATGATTGTGTGGTGTAGTTAGCCTTTCTGATTTTAGCCCTGAAATATTTCTATAACCATTTAAACGTACATAGTTTCTCTTATTAGAGTCCAGTTGGAGGTCTGTGGCCAGGGGTGTCCCCCTGGGGTCAGTACTGGGCCCAGTGCTGTTCAACTTGTTCATCAATGACCTGGAAGAGGGCACAGAGGGCACCCCTGAGCAAGTTTGCAGATGACACCAAGCAGGATGGAGTGGCCAACACTCTGGAGGGCTGTGCTGCCATTCAGAGGGACCCGGACAGGCTGGAGAGTTGGGCAGAGAGGAACCTCATGAGGTTCAACAAGGACAAGTGCAGGGTCCTGCACCTGGGGAGGAATAACCCCAGGCACCAGGACAGATTAGGGGTTGACCTGCTGGAAAGCAGCTCCACAGAGAGGGACCTGAGAGTC